TGGGGCACATTCCTGTCTTGAAGAGGAGCCATCAGACCTTTGTTCAACACAATCTCAGGGGAAGATTTGGTGACAGTTTTCAGCAGCTCGGGATCAATGATTCCTTTCTGTTTCTTGGTCTCACCTTCCCTCTCTCTCTCTCTCAATCTAAATACACACACATATAGTGATACGGGATAACATTGCCTCGGGTTATTTTTACTCTATTTAATCAAACAAGTTCACAAACATCTTTCATTCAAGTTAGGAGCAAAAACAGACATTTACACCATCAGATAAATCAAAAATAGACATCCAGCACCCGGATGAGGCACACAGGTAATACTGGAGGAAATGAGATGAACAGCATTTACAGGAAGCAGCGTGTAGAAGATTAAAGACATGATTTATAGAGCGTGATCCGGCCTGGCTAATGGTGTGTGTCAGCTACAAATTTACATATTTGCCCAGGCACACAACATCATATCAGCCAGTTACTAAATCAATCATAGCCACTATTAAAGAGTCTGCTGATAGGGGTTAGTGGAAATGAGCTCTTGAGTCTCAGGCTTGATACTGGCATGGTTACCTTTCTTCCATCAATCACAGATGCATCTGAGATGGCCATTGGTCATGGTTAGCAACGGAGGACGCGAGAGAGTGAATTACATTGCCATTTACTCTGAATGATGAAATGTTGCATGCACACAATTTGATGTAGGTTATACAATTTGTCGATATGAGACTAATGTAGGGGAAAGCTATTTTTAAAAGCAATCGTTGCACTTCTATGTTGAGCGACTTCTTTAAAAATCAAGAGCTATTGAGCTACTTTTTAAGAAAAGTTATGTGTTATTTGTTTGCCATTAGGACTGCTTGAGTAATCAAAATTAAATTGAGAGTTTGACTGATCTCATGCACATGATGTTAGGGAAGCGTGGCTCCATGATCACTAATAAATCTCCTCTGAGCATTCCTCTAACATAAAAACTGCAAATACGCCAAAAAGAAGAGACACAAGTAATCAACTGGTTTTATCAATGAACTGTGGCAAATTAACACACAACTATGGAATCATATTAAGAAATGAAATATTTCAAACACTTGTCTAGAGTTTTGAAGTGAGTTAGGAGTAATAACAGATTAATAAATGTAGATTTTTTTTTACATGCTTTCAGATGTAGCAGCATTACAGAGCTGTAGTTCCAGATGAAGAGATGCAAACAGCTGTCAAATCCCAAAATTATTATATTTGATTTCAGGATTGCACAGATTAAACCCCCCATGATTATTCAGGCCAATAGCCAACCTGGTGTAAAGGGTGGGGTTTTTGTTCTCAAAAAATTTGATTTTTCTGTAATTATTTGCTTAATTTTCAATTTATTTATAAGATTTATATACTTAATTTAGGTGACATTTTAAGCACAGCTTTTTGGCTTAATAACTTTATCGGATGGTCATCATAACCACACTTATAGATGTACTTTTTGATGAGTGCCTGATGTGTGCTTGGTGTAGTAGAAATATTTCCTAAATGTTTAGAATAAAGAAATATGACAAATAAGTATTTTTAAAATACACATTTATTACACTGTAAATTCTAACATGTTCAGTTTACTTAAAAAAAGTTTGGAAACCGATTGCCTTATTTTTGCAATATAAACTTACAAGGAAATCTTAAGTTAAGTTTAATTATTGCCTTGAAGTAAGAAAACTAAAACTTATAAAGTAAACTAACTGTTAAAAATTAAGTAAGTTTAATAGAAAATTCTAGTTAACATACTTGTCATTATTTAGTAATCTTACTTAGGGTTTTATAGTAAGATTACTTTAATAACTCTATTTAACTAATACTGTTCTACCATGTTCAGTTAACATCTTGAATGCTAGTAGTCTCAACATTGTTTTAATCCACCATTTTAAGTAATGTCAACTAAAGAAACTACGTGCAATCGGTTTCCACATTTTCTTCAATTAAACTGAACATAAAATATGTAGTTCAACCTACAAGTAATGACATTATACAGGTCTTAAATGTAAACATTTTATTTGACAAAATTAGCAGAATTTCACAATACACTTGTGATATTTTAGTATCACAATACACTTGTACACAATACAGTTTTGTAAAAACCTGTTGTAAAGTGCTGTAATATACTGTAAACAGCAATACAGACAAAAAATATAATAAACATGTTCAACCCTAAAACACAAGTTTTCGAAAAGGTTTGAAAATCTATCAAAAAAACTTTAAATACTTGACACTTGGAAAAAAGATACTTGAATTAGTGTAATTAAACATGCCATTGCACCAGCACCTTAAACATGGCAGCATATAGACACTCACAGAGGAACAGATATTAAGCTTTAAAGCTAATTTGTTAGACTGTGTAGTTTAGATTTTCCTACAGAAAATATCACATTAGTGTGGTCAAAAGTATTGAGTTTGGTATCAATCAATACTGAAATATTAAAAATATCAATTTTCCACCAGCATTTGAGTGCTACTGAGCTCGTTCTTAAACACCATTGATTGGCCACTGTGTTCACATGCTCAACAGAAATGACTGTGATTGGCTGTGACTGTCATAGGTTGACCATTTTTCACTGAGTCCAAACAAAGTTACACAGACACTGAAGTGTTTCAAAGCCATGTCGATAGCTGATTTGTTTAGAAGCTAACATATAAGCTATCTGGTGATGAATCGACTGATCGACAGTGCTTTGAAGTTATCCAGTGTCTTTGTATCTTTGCACCTGGTGAACAGTGGTGAAGTGTGGTAAAAATAATGACCTTCAAAGCCAATCAGTCATATCTACTGAGCATGTGAACACAATGGCCAATCAGTTCTTGCAATGTTAGTGGGAAATGGATGGACTTTTTTTTTATTTATTTCAGTACCGATTGGTACCAAACTCAATACTTTTGACAACCCTATAAATCACAATACACTTTTTTGGTAAAAAAAAAAAAAAAAAAGTGTTTTAAACACCAAAATGCTGCAGTCCTAAATGTAACACTGCAAACAGCAACATGTTAAAAAGCAACACTTTGTAATTAAACATGCCATTATACCTGAACCTTTAAACATAAAGCACAGCAGTATATAGGCACTCGCCGAATAAAACACATTACGCTTCCCTCCCAGCAAAAGCAACACACGTTGAACAAATTCAAATGCATTGCTCAAAGTCTTTGGGTAGTCCGAATTCAGTGTGTAAATCAAAGCAAAAAAAGAGACATACTGCATGTGGCAAAGTCCATAACCACTTTTCCTTCCAGTATAAAGGCCCACATTGCATCCATAATGAGGTTCTTTAGACATCTTCACACACGACAGTCAGCAGGCCAACATCTTCTGCACTGAAGTCCGACTCTACAATTACATCCTATGAATAGAGAAAGAAAAATAAGTAAAGTTTGATATTCTAAATGGCACTAATAAAGCCTGTAGTGGCCAGGAGACCAAAAGCAGAGGTGAAAAAAATACAATTCCTTGTGCTTAATTTAGTAACACTTTAGTAGGAACCAATTACCCTATTAACTAGTTGCTTATTAGCATGACTATTTGTGTTTATAGTACATTTTACATTCAAATGCTTCTTATAAGAAGGCCTTGCTATGGTGCTCCTTCTTCAATGTAGACCAACACGATGGATTTGCCTGTACTGCTTCTACTAGGCTTGTCATGATAGTGGAATTTATTACCAATCCATAAAGTAATTTTAAAAACATCCATTTCCTGCTAACATTTGAGCATTTTTGAAGGTCATTTCTGTTAAGCATGTGAACAGAATGGCAAAACAGTGCTGTTTAAAAATGTGCTCAAAAGTGCTTAAAATGTTAGCAGGAAATTTGCTGCTTAAAATTGCAGCAGAGATTGGTACCAAATTCCAGTATCTTGAACATGATACTATTCTAAATGAACAATATTTTTTTTTAATTAAAGAAACACTGTAATGTACTAAAACAAACTGCAGTAAAAGTACTTTTAAAACATTTTCAAGAAATTAAATGCAAATGTGTGAGAGACCAATTGGTGCTACATAATCAATATAAATATTTTGTAGGGAAAACTTAATAAATTGGGAACCGATTCATGAATGCATTTGGTTTTGCTAGATTAAAGCAGTGAGTCAAGTTTGCATTATTTAGCACACTTTTTAAAAATGTATTAATAACTATTTTTTAATAAGAAAATTGATGTTTTAGTATGGCTTTTAGAACAAGGGTGCAGCCATCTACAATCCCACAGCAGGTGACTTCACAGGGTTGGTTATAATACGGAGCATCTTTGACTTTGTGGCTTTTAACACTATCTTTTTACATCTTAATCCAGCAGGTACTTTCAACTGAAATTATATTTCTCTCAACATATTACATAGGTATTACACTTATTAAGATTTTTTTTTCAAGCTAATCTTCCTCCTTTTCAAAACAAGTGTGTTTAAAAATTAAAGAAATGCATTCATTACTTCACTGGCCTATGAAGCTAACTGACCCTGTGATGGCACAAGCTGCTGTATTTGCAACATAGCAATGCTCTTGCTCCAAAGGCCATAATATAACATCTCTCTTACTTTCAAATACTTACATTAAATGCATTTGTTTTATTTTTATAAAATTGAAAATTTTTATTAATAAGTGAAGTAAACTGGAATGACTGCTTCATTTCCAGTCTAAGAAAGCAGAAACAATAATACTACTTACAAAACACATCCTGAAAATTTCTTTAGACTCATCCCTCTAAAGGACTGAAAGACCCCGGAGAACTGCTGCCAGATGACCTTGAAAAAGTAAAGACAGGTAGACATGCATTATAGCCCAATGAAAACATCAAATGCAATTTATTGCAATCAAATGCAAATTATGATTCAAAGATGATGTCACAAAAATACCTTTGAATTAACATGTTGAAAATTTCTTCTAGTTTTCTTCTGCAATTTTCTCCTGTTTTTTTTTTTTTTTTATTTCAATCAAACGAGCAGTGTGTGTCCAATGCAGCGTAGAACTTGGATCTCACATTTCTTCCTGATATTCGATTGAATTCTGCAAAGATCCAATCAAAACATTATTAGTCATTAATAACATTCAAAAACACAAATTCACAAAATCACACAAAGTTTTGAAAAGAAAACAAACCTTCTGCAGCACTTGCATCAGCTGGTGTTTCCTCTATGACTTCATTCTGGATGTTACTGTTGTGCACAAAAACGTAAAGTGTTATTGACATGGCTAAGCGAAATTCTAAAACAAAAAACAGAAATCAGAAACACATGCAATGATACAATGCAATGCCATTTAGCAACAGATGTTACACTTTAACATGACATAGTTAAATGTTCTTGAATAATAAAAGCTGCCAAATACTCCCGGCGCCTGTCATCAAAAGCATGAGCTATACTTGTCACCAAACAGTAATAAACACAACCCCCGATTAAATATAATCATGGCATTGTTGCTGGTGTGCCTTACTTTTATGCGCATTAAAAGTGGAATAAATATTTGTCTCAATTGATGTCTTTAAAAGGACACTGAACTTTCTGACTAGGGTTGCACGGTTTACCGGTACTATGGTAGTATCGTGATACTATGGCTCCAAGATACTGGCGGTGCCACTGTAGTTTGTAAACGGTAGTATTGTCATTAACAGTCTGCCTACAATACATAATGCTGCATGTGAAAAAGTCACTAAAATACTTACACGATTCAGCAACAATAGATCATTGTATTTTAATAGTCTATGGAGCCTTCTAAGATTGTAAAACTGTAGAATTTGCGCCTTTTATAGTAGCCTATTGCATATTTTGTGATGGTTCATTTTGAATCGGAATTGGTTTATTTCTGTTCCTGTCAATATGATATAATAGCTACAACAACCGTGACAATCTATTAAAAAGAATGACTCATAAAGTGAAATTTTGAATTACTTTGGATTCTTATCCGTTAATAATTGTGAAAAAAGTATGATAGATGAAAAACCCAAAATAGCAACAGGAAACAATTTTTGACCACTTCATATAGCCTAGGTTTGTTGGAAAAATGCTCTTTTCTTTATGTATCTTTATTTTAATGTTTTTTTTTTTTGCTGGAATGAATACATTTTAGGTGATGTGCAAATACTTTTTTCAACAATAAGGGAATTATTTAAATTCAAGTAGGCCTATAATAACATATACAATATATTATTTCTGACATTTTTCTTTATTTCATGGATTTAAGTTATGAATTACAGTATTGCAATACTACTTGGTATCACCATACTTCAGCTGGTATAGTATTGTAACATAAATTAATGGTATCACAACACAACAACCCTATTTCTAACTAGTCCTCAGATGATTATTCAAATGGACAAAATATTCGGACTATTCTTGATCATGCAGTTCTTTGCTGAGAATTTTGTTAAATGTACTTTTAATGCATTAAACGATTTAAAATTACCCTGACACTCAGTATGGAGACAAGGTAACGTTAATAGAACAATTCATGAATATGTTCTATGGCTTGTGCGGTATTGTTCAAAAAGTTTTCTTTGATGTGTAAGTGCAAAACTTACATTTCCACTGCATATCAGCTCACAAACTGGTAGTCTGAAATAAAAAATAAATAAAGGGTATAATGATATTACAAACCAAATATGCCACTCACAATACTCTAATCGTGTGCTACATTTTAAACAACCTTGTAATTGTTCAAATTTATTTGCCCTAAATTGTTAAAAATTAGTGAAACCTTCTTTAAAAATGCAAACTAACAGGTTTGGCAAAGCCTGTTTCTTTACAGAAAGTTTGCTTATAACAAAGGCTTGTTGATGCCTTTGTGTGATATTGAGCAAACAAAGGGATGTTTCTGTGCTTGGTTGTACGAGTTATACCACTTCATCATTAACGTTATCCATCACACATATTCAGTCGCATCTGGTCAGATTTATTTGTCATTACAGCAATACAAAACACTCTATAACGTAGCGGCAACACTGGAATAAACCTTCAAAACGGCATAAAGAAAAGACAAATAGCATATAAAACAAATAAATGAGTTAATTAAATATCTCTCGCATTTTCATAAGTTTAACTTTAAGTTTCATAAGGATTGTTAGCATAAGCACACTTTAGCATCATGTGTAAATATGTATCTGCCTCATACAGTGACACGAATCGTAATCGCATCGAAATCCTAAATTACCTACGACACTCACGGGTCCATTTTGAGCTGAAACTGCTTTATAATGTTCTAAAAGCCTCGGCGGGTTAAAACTGCTGCTGCCCCGGCGATCATGGAGAAAAAAACGACTGGTCTGGTCATGAGCCGCTCGCTGACGCCGGTGTTACACCGGACCGAATCACAGCTGATCTCCTCACCTGCTTCCTGCAGGTGATCTCATAAAAGTAAATCTTAAAAAAAAAACACGCATATTTTCGTCACAACAATCGCCACTAAAGTTCAGCGATAACTAACGTTACTGTCTTTGTAATGCGGATAAATAGGTTTCGTTTTCTTTTTCAAAAATGTAGACCTACAGCTATGTGTTAACTTTACATCTATTTGAACGGATCATTGCGCGCGCTCTTGCTCTCTCAGTGCATCATTTAAAATGGCGCGGCCCGCTCTTTTAGAGCATAACGCCCACTTTACAAATTACTACTAACTTTACAAATTATTAATAGTTATTAAAAAGGACTAAGCAGCTAAAAATAGCTTATCTAGTAAAGTAGACAGTATTGCAAATAACGTGCAGTGGTCAAAACGTTTAGTCACAACATCATGGGCTATTAATTAGTTCACAAAACAGCAAACAATTTCACAAAGTGCAGGAAATAAACAGATTACTGATACTATACAAATAAAATCAAAGTAGTAATTAAAACGAAAAGTTTACCTTGATTTTACAGCAGTACATCTTCTCAATATGAAATCCTGTCCTTCAATGGCGGTGCTGGGTGGCGGTTGGTTGTGACTCGGGATGGGGGATGGGAAATCACCACCCAGTACGCATGCGTAACAGCATGGCTTAGCTCTTATAAGCAATTTTACTCAAATTACATTAGTTATGGGAACTTTATACCTTACTATGTCAGCAACACTAATGCATTTCTAGTAAACTCAACAATTAGCTTAAAATTAAGTAAACACACTAGAATTTTGATAGTAAGGAATACTATTCGCATTTACAGTGTACATCATATATCATTAGAAAGGAAAAACATTTAAATAAAAAAACTGTAGTCTATTTTAATTCATTAGGCAAATAACAAATTGGCCAGCACATTCAATTTCTTCAGAAATTAGTCAGAAATTGGCCATTTGAATAATAAAACATTAAAACATAATAATAATAAGCTTCACAATTTTTCTAGCCTCTCTTGTAAAAAAGTACATTTGAAAAGTAATGGAGAACAACAATAGTCAAAATAGTATTCAAATTAATTTTAATATGGGCCGCTTTTGTTGCTTAACTTTTTTTTTTTTTTTTGGTTATATTCAAGTTACTAGTCAAATGTTTTCTTTATTTAAAAACAATACAGTAGCAAAATATGACTTCGCTTATGTCAGATGTTTTTTTGCACAGCTGGATGTTGGACTCTTGAAAAATAATTCTTTGTGTTGGCCAAAACTGATTAATTGAAGTCATACCAGGACTCCTCTTGGTCCTAAAGACTTTTGGATGGGTTATTTTTTACTATTTATGATGGTGTAGCAGTCAAAGTAGGACAAATAAGCTCATGAATGGGACAAATTCTGGACCTTCTTCAGTGAGGGGTGAGTGTTTCGAACCACCTGAACCCCCTTGGCTACAGGCCTGTTATTTGCATAGACTGTCAGTGAACCCTATTGCTCTGAAAGCTCATGCTGAAGATTTAAAACTGATTTCAGAGCCGGTTTTGTGCCTGAAATTTGCCTAAAAATCCCCTTCGATTAATTGTGCAGAATCTGTAATACTATAAAAAAGCTTCTATTTTTGACAAATGTATGGCCCTTTTACATCAAAAATGAAATATGAAATGAATAAACATCAGGCTGAAGGTAACACAAATATATATCAGCACAGTTAAGGTACAGCTCAAACAAAAATTCCGTCTGTGCTGCATTTCTGGACTGCATGAAGAGAAAGTTCAACACTATTTAGCAATGACTATTCCGAGTTTGCATTTCATCGTCTTTAATTATTTTAAGGAATACTGAATCTGTTATTGTGCAAGAGAGATAAGTAAACACATGTTCACATTTAAGCTACAACTATAGCAAGTATCAGGTTTCCGTATCGTACACAAAACATTCCCTCAACACAGAAGCCGGAGAGCTGTCAGTCAATTAATGGGACAACAAAGGGTTTTTTTATGTTAAAAGTAAATCAAATATTTTGAAGGAAATTTAAATTAATCATTTACTAGTTACTTGAAAAAAAGTATCCGATTATAGGTTACTTGTAATGCATTAACTCCAGCAGTGTATGTGACAAATACCAAATAAATACCAACTTCTCACATCGGATGCAGATTTACATTAAGACCAAGTTCACTTAAAGATATGAATAAATAAAAACAGAACAAGACAGAAAACAGAAGCACAGAGGAGCAGACTGCAAGAAAGAAAGAGGTCAGTACTTCTGCAAAAATAAAAAAATGAGGGGAACACAATGTGATGGGCGTCATTTTGTTGGGTGTCAGTACAAGATCTGAAAACTCAGTAGCAGATTACAAGTGCCCTGCCACAAACACCACAAGTCCAAATGACAACCTTCACATCTGTCTGCCATTTTAGGACAAAATACTGGTGAAATCATATCCTGATGAAAGCTTTCCACTTTCAATAAATACATCAGTTTTCCTGGCAGACCAATGAGAAACATTTCAGACACACTGCACACTTACATCTGCTCCTGCTCTCAAAATGCTATTTTGTTTGAATGGAGATGGCAAGAACTATAATATTTACAGTGTTTGCATACCAGCTAACAGTTACGATTTTCTATTTATTTCTAGTGAGTTGGAAATTAAAGAAGTAGTTTACCAAAATAAATCAATGTAAATACAAATTACAATTCTGATTTTTATTGAGCATCATGTTATTCCAAAACAATTAGATTTTTTTAATAAGAAAACACCCGATTCAAATGTTATCACTCGATTGAATAAGCGTTATCAGTGGTTGTCCTTTAATAGGTATGGGCAGGTACAAGGGGCCTTTTGCACGTAATAGTAGGCTCAGAAGGCTGTTATCATCCATCCACATGGTTAATCAGCTATACTTATAGAGAAGATTCCAAATCCAGATGTGTTTTACATTACTGTGGTTGGGTTTAGGGTCGGGGTAGGGGTAGACGTTAATAAAATAAAATTAATGCGAAATTAAATAAGTAATACAAATAATTCTCCTGCTTAATCAGCTATACTAATAGAGAAGACTCCACAGTCAGACCTGTTTTTACATTACTGTGACAGTTAGGTTTAGGGCTGGGGTAGGGATAGATGTTAATAAAATGCAATTAATGGAAAAATTAACAAATAATACAAATGATTCTCGTTAACTTCTGGGTTCTGCCAACAGCCATATGTGATCTATAGCTGATTATACTTGTGGATGGATGATAACATTCTTCTGCCCCTATTAGTAGGCACAGAAGACTCCTACTGGCCCATATCTATCAGTTGATAACCACTGATAACACCCATTTAATGGAGAGATAACATTTGAATCTGCTGTGAGAAAAAGGGTCTCATTCACAAATAATTTTGCGGATTATTTTTTTATGGACCATTTCAATGTGATGATTTCATTGGCCCATAACCATTTCCTCCTTATTATTAAACTATTTCATAACTGTAAAAAGAGGCAATTCAATCATAACTACATGTTAAAACAGCTATCATAACATTACTCATGAATATGTATGTGACTCTTTTTGGAATCTCAGAAACTATAGAAATTAAAAATGTAAAACAGGAAATACATTGGGACCATTTTTATTGTTTACATCCCTCAAAATGGTCAACAATTTCTTTAAAAATGTCTTCATCTTTCATCAATTGGACCTCCAGTTAAAGTTTTTTCCTCTCCCCAAATCTTCAATTTCTGACACTCAATCTGTCTCTGAAACAGCAATCCTCCTGAAGCCATTCAGAAAGAATCTGCCACAAGAGTTTCAATAAACACACATATCCACTTCCTCTACAAAGAGGGATTGCGTTACATCGATTAAAACTCATGAATCAGATCTATGCTGCTTCCTGTCCATGTGTGTAATGACACCTGCTGTGTCTATTCACTGCATCACTGTACACAGATCTAAACGTGTTGGGGAAGTAATTTAACCCTTGCTGTATGGATCAGCACTAGGGTTAAATTGAAAAGCAATATACCTGAGGGACGAGAGCCTATAAGCTGGCATTAACAAATGAACATGCGTTTCTATGTAGACAACACTGTCATTTGCTATCTCCAATTGCTGTCACCTCATTTCCTCTAGTCTTATCCTTTAGTACAAGATCGTCAACAAATACTCCAGAGTTCATGCAGTGTATTTGCTTCAGTGTATGAGCTCATACACACACTAAGTTCACATACACACTATTAAATACAGCAATAGCCTATCCTGGAAAATCAGATTAGTGCCAGCTTCTGGATATAGTTTATGTAAAAGTGATTGCCTTCACTCATATGGGAAAAGATCCGGTCTTTATTAGGAGTATTACTCAAAATGTAACATAAGATGAATAGCTTGGAATAGCAAATTACAGCAATATTTCACAGAGTATATATTTTCCCTTGGTTATAGTTTTAGTATATCCTTATAATAACAAACTCGGCCAATAATGCAAATATGGGTTCAACTAACACAGGCTCATTGGAAATTTATGCCTCAGCCTACACTTTTGTGAAACCACAATCATGTATTTCTTCAACATATGAGTGATCGCAGTTTCTCGGTAAAATTAACACTATGGGTCAACTTTTGTTCCATTTCACACTAATGATGGTTACAGTGATCTATTATCAGAGAATAAAGGATTTTTTTTAATGCAGTTATTTGCAAAACACCAACAAAATACAACAAAACTACTTTTTTTGTCTACGATTTGCAGTTAAATATAGGCTAATTTATACTTCTGTATTGAGTGAACATGGTACTGTAGGTCCTTCAGATAACCTTAAAGTACCCTGACATGCACCTCTCTAAAAATGTAACTACATGTTGCGGTGACAAAAAGCACAAGATCTGTGATTGGCCATCTTGGTAGTGGTAATGAGTGTGGGCGGGCCTGAGAGCTATAAGACAGGAGCAGGCACGGTGGCGCGAAGGTTTAACAAGTGTCAAGATCTGTTGAGGAGCTGCAAGTAGATATTTTATTTTTGTTTACTTTATGATTAAAGCTGTTGAACATTCGCCAGTTCCTGCCTTTTTCTTGCTTGAATGAGTGTGATTTTGAGCTACTTCTACAGTAGCGTTGCATGCATTTATGGATTAAGCTCAAAACACAGCAAAACAATATTTGGTACAGTGGAACATAGAAATCCCTCCACCTTGCATCCCATGAAGGCTGATTTATACTTTTGCGTCAAGCGTATGCAAATGCTCTGGCACAGACTTTGCATGATCACATAGCCCTCACGGTGCCCCTGATGAACATCTCACAAAAAATGAAACTACACGTCGCAACCACGCATATCGCAAGCTCTGTGATTGGTCGGCTTGGTAGCTGTGACGACTGTGGCTGGTGCTGAGAGCTACGACTCTGTTGGAGTAAGTGTTTACAAGTGTTGAGTCCTGTAAATGAGATCCAGATGAAAAATTTAGTTTTGTATTTACCTTAAAGTTGTTGCATGCCCACTGGTTCCCGCCTCTGAACGAGATAGTTTTAGCGTGGGTACATTAACACCCATGAAGAAACACAACACAGAGGAACATAAAACTGCTGCCAGCTAGCGTTTCGGAAGAGAACTATAAATGCATGCGCAAGGCAGGCGTCATAGGTCACAGCGGAACGCTTGACATAGAAGTATAAACCAGCATTTAGTGTTATTGCCAGGGCAGCACAAACAGATTGCAGAAGTATAAATGCTCTCAACGACAGCGTGTATAATGTACTACTTGACGCAGAAGCATGAGAATGTATCACTTGACGCAGAAGCATTTCTATATGGACAACTTTTGTGCTATGGTCAGCTTGCTCTGTAGCTCATTTTGTACATTGTTGTACTTGCGATGCAGAGCGCTCAAGTTCAAGTCCAGTGGAGCAGGTTCCACAATACAGATTAAAGCAATGTAAAAAAAAATCAAGATAAAACTATGTGGTTGCAGCAGTGCACCCTTCTCTTAAGTTTGCTTTTGAAAACATTATTGGCTGGGTTTAGAAAAGGGTTTAGGTTAGAGATTTACTAAATGATCTTTACAGCAAGCCCCACCTTCTCATAGACATGTACAAGAAAGTGTATCTGAAACGTTTAACAAAATGTACCCTAAGTAATTCATTTTAGTTCTGCAAACAGGGTTCATACATATTTTTACTACTAAAATTCCATGACTTTTCCATGATTTTTCCCAGACTTTCAAGTAAATTTTCATGACCTAATGCTTCATGCAATATCTACAAATGTGTGATAAAAGAAAAACAATGCATGTTCAAATTTATTACAGCATATCGTAAAACACTAAACAATCTATTTTGTTTCAATTTATATTTATATCTATGTAAAATTGATTGAGGGAATGCTTACAACGCAATAATAATGTGAGAGTATTTGATTGGCCAAGGACAGAAAAGTAAATAACCTATATTTAAGTATACAGATATCTGTTTTGCATGACTTTTCCAAATCTTTGTGGGTTTTTCTGTTTTTCCAAAACTTTTGCAGGCCTGGAAAATGCCATGTCAAAATTACATGACTTTTCCAGGTTTTCCATGACCGTATGCGCCATGTGTAAAAATGTAGACAGCACCCTCTAGTGGATTTGTCATCTGAAACATGCAACAAGATATATACACGGAGCAACGTACATTATGATTAGAAAAAATGTAGGCTGAGGCAGATATTATTCAACGAGCCTGGGTTGGATCTAACTAGACTTCTTCTTGTCTGTACATTACCTATGCTTTTCTGTTCAAAATGTGATATCTGAATGTTCATTTTTTCCTCACAAAAACAAATGTTCATGAAGTAATGTTAAACTGAAAACTGACTGTTATGACAGATTATTTAAAGTATTAAGTAAATGCTGATAGTTGACAATCAAAGGAAAGTAAATGTCATTGGAAATTGCAATAACTTAGAAAGTCAAAACAATCTCTGATTGGCTCTATAAACAGTCTGACTAAACCCACACAACTTGTCATTCCCTGCTGGGAGTTTGTATAATGAAAAACCTCAGTGTTGACTATTTGGACCTTTTATGGCTTTGTTTCGTTATGGTTGTATCATTAGCACAACATACATTAAGCCTTTTACATTTAAACAACAAGTGAATTATTGTGCAGAACTGCATTGGTTCTAAAGCAATTTGTTTATGTCGATGTCAAGTTGAGAATGCATACATGCACAAACATTTCCAGGACAACAGGACAAAGAGATTCATCCATCTCTTGCATAACTGAATGATGCTTTTCATGAGAGAGAGAGAGAGTGGGAATAGAGAAAAAATAAAGGGAGTGAATAGAGTTAGGAATGCTGACAACCACCAAACGAAAGACGGACATTCCCTGCCAAAATGTGCTGTCTCATTATCCGTGTAATCGTTATACCATCTCCCAACAGCCTAAATCTTTTCAGTCAAAATCATCAATCAAACATAGTTCCTTTGCATAATAACAAGGCCTTTTTTCTATTAGACTATTAGACATCTGTAACTAATCAGAGTAAATTCAACCATTCACCTAGAATGCAAATTACTTCTACCTGACATTATGTAAATAAGACCACAAGCGCACTAAATTATAAAGCCGGCAGGGTTCGGTCCCTTATGTCTTTGATATACAAGTACTGTTGATCAATACGAAGCACTAAACATAGAACAGAAACAGAAACGCCATTTAAAAATGTCACTCAGAATTCCACTAAACCAAAAATAAAAATCACATTGCATTCTGCAGATGTAGGCACTGGTTTATTTAAGCCATCAGGAACACTTTTCTAGTAAATTTCACTGACTGCTACCACATGTGTTCGCTTCATAAACCCAATGCTCCTGCACAAACCACACTCATTACCCAGAATCCACTGCATACAGTGTGGCTGCAGACACAAATCAAGACCCCCTAAAGCTGCCTCAAGGGTACAGCCTTTTAACAGGTTGCCCTAAAGTTCAGTTTAAGAACTTATGGCCTAAGACACGGATCTGTTCCTGTGCTAAAACGATTCATGTATTGGAACTGTCGATGGGACACACCTCCTGATTTCTGACTGTTTGCAAATTAGCTGCTATCATTGACCTTTACAAAGCCTGTGGTTTCAGTTTCAACATTTTAAAATTATTGCAGTTATCATTTATGTGGTGGTGGTGGTGATGGTGGAACATCTAAACTTGCACTACAAATAAAGATATATAGAGTACACAAATATTAATGCGTTTTAAATTAACATTGATAGTTAAAAGAAGTGAAAACATGAGTTTACCATTTGTTGATTTTGCTGAGACATATGAAACCACATAAATATGTCACTGTAATAAACAAATAAATAAACAAGCTATATTTATAAAGGATTACTTGCCCAGTGCGACAAACAATGTCTGTGCTGTCCACCTCCGACAGGCTCTAATATTAACCATAATGTAATACTTTTAAGAATAATGGCTAAATAGTTATAGCTCAAGTACTTAGAGGACAATATTCAGGGTCTTTGACGTTATTAATCTTAACTTCTAGAAGCCTATTAAAAAGGCATGAAGTTATGTAAAAACTTAACTTAGACGCTTTAGGTTAAGCATCATAAAATTGTGTTTGTTGAAGATACAAACTTGAAAGATCAAAGATCACATCTAAAAAAACCTTTTTTATACAAACTACAGTTTATTGTGACAGCATCTAAATTATTTTGATTTGAAGAAGATAACGTGGGGAAATGTGTTTTTACAACAAGACAGAAATGCAATATGTCTAGTTTGTTACCGTGTTACTTTACTGACAATTCTGACAGTATTTATAAGTAGGGTCAGGATAATGTAGTCTCTGATGACAGAGCTGTGTAAACAAAGTCATGCTCCTCTAACACACAGAACACCTGCCAGTCTTAAACACTTTGACATGATATTTTATAGTTCTCTGAATTAGCCCACTAAACAACAACGTTTGTTGGGAGAGCTAAAACTCTGGAATCACATAACTGTTCCCCCAGGAGCACATAAAAACATTCCTGTCATATCAAGCAGAGACTGTAAGAGAGCACAATTCATGCATTGTCCTGTAACACTGACAGCCTTTTGTCTGAAATTCTTCTTTAACTGCTGAAGGCATGTATCTCTGTTTTATTAGAGTCATTACTAAATTTACAGATATGGAGCTCTGGAAAAGACATACAAAAAGGATTGTTACACGGTTAGGATTGATTCTTAAGAAATCTCTTTAAAAGTGTCTAACAAATACTGACTGAATAAGCAGTGTTTAGGAAAAATAGCTTAGGACTAAGAAACTGAACAGAAAGAGTGAGGAATATGGCAAGCTGGTTATTCCTTAAAATTCAGCAATATTTTTTATTTGTTCCGACTTTTAAATTATTGGTAATCTAATAACAAGTGACTCTTAGTCAGTTCCATAATTGTAAACTGTAAATGCATTTCAGTTATTACTAGTAAGATTAGTATTATGAGAACAATAACAGTTTAATGTGTTTCATATGTAGTGGTAAAATAGGAATAGAAGGTAAAGAGCACATGGTCGACATAAATTAGTAATTACTAAATGAAAATCAACGATTGCTTCTATTATCAAGTAGCAAAGTAGTACAAGTATGTTGTGAAACAGTGGTTACTAGTGAGTTGCAATTGTATTTAAAAACTATTTAAAAATAATTACTAGTAACACAATATAATCTCATGTCGTAAATGTAACAACGGCTTGCCACAAGTGAGCGTGTTTTTGGCAGTAGCTCTTCCACCTGCTCCGAATGACGGACCTTTACGAAGTAAAATCACTGAAAACATCACGACCCTTTAATCAAACCTCTCCAAACTTATTGTATCTAACTTTAACTTGTTCAGGACAAGTGCGTAGGACCGAAAAAGACAGCATAGTTCGCCGCTTCAAATCTACTGAACCAAACAGAGAATCAACTTTGCGCTCTTAGTTTGGAAACAGCAGCTCAGGGGTTCAAACACCGTGTCTCTCACCTTGTTGTAGTTGTAGTATCCCAGACAGTGGGAAAAATCCAGGTTCTGTGGATCCCCAGGAATAGAATTCCCTCCGGCTGACGGATAAAATACATCCATGTTTCCTCTCGGCGAAGCGCTGCTCATATGAAAAGGGCGCAATTTTTCTCTTACTTGTCCTTCAACAATCCAGGCGCGGGGAATGAGAGGGACGCGGAGAACAACACGGGTTTTTTTGCAGCTCAAGTGAGGCAGCGAAAAGGTAAAGGGGGTGTTTTAAGGAGTTTTAGTAATCCTCTTCTATGAGCAGAGATCGCTGGCCATAGTTTTGGGATGTTAAAGAAAGGTTGGCGATGTTCAAACTGCTCCTGCGCTGTGAGATCCAAGCATGCTTGGAGAAGAGCAACACAAAGAAAAGCCGGCAAACAGCAACTCCGCTACAATGTTCTCCGTTCAGATACACGCTCGCAGACTCAGTTGCTAGATGGTTTAAACACAATGCTGTTCCCGCTCTCAGTGTTTCAAAGACGTCTCCATCAATCCACACTTTACGTTTCAAATTAAGCGCTGGCAGTCAGTTAGACACTTTAACCTTTCAAAGATTGGCTAATTAAATGAAATTAAACCCTCCAGACACGTGGATAATGCTGTCCGATGGCACCGTTAGTCCAAGAAACTTGGGAAGCGATGTTTACATATTCATTACAGCGCTCGAGGGACTCGGAGCAGCCAATGGTCTTGTGTTTACTTCAGCCAACATCAAGCTGTGATGGAGGAGTATGGGAGAGAGTGGGGCTCATTGCGACCACTCCCAGAGCACCCATCGCCACTCCCCTATCAGCCATAGAAAGAAACCCCCGCGTTCCTCCATGAAATGACAACATATAACTAGTTCCAATAATTAACTAATTACCACTAAGCTATTTTTTTTTTTGCATCAACTTTTTTTATTTTTCTCAGTTTCCCCCTCCTGGAAAATAAATAAATAAACCAAATCAAATTTAGGGCTCTTGTATTGTGAAATAAATAGAATTTTTATCCTGTGACATATTAGTAGTTGTTACACTACAATATAACCTTGTAAGTTTCAGAACTCAAAACTTCCCCCCAAAAATGTTTTTAATAAAATAAAATCATTGAAGGGAATGCTTGTTTCCATTTGCTTTTGGAGGAACACTTTTATCTGCAGTTAGGATTTTCTTGACATTGTTATTAAATGTTTTATCCATAATAGAAAGGCCCTTAATAGCAAGCTCTGGAAGAGAGCCAGATGCATGGTTATATATGTTTGTGGTTTTAATAAGGTAAGTAGATTTGGAGAGATACAATGAACAATTTGTCTGTATTCAAAGTAATTTTTACACCAAAAGTGTTAATAAATCCACTGTAATTATATAAATTCCCTACATTATTTAATAAGTCTGTAACAAAAAATTCTCATTTTATAACCTTTTACAAATCCCTTTTGAACATCATTCCAAAATATGGGTGCGGGGGGAAGTTATGCTTATAAATCAGTTTCCATGCGTTCAAGTCTTGTTTATGAAAATTGCTGTTCATGACATCTTAATAGGAATTTTAGAACACTTAAAATCATAAGTTAGTAAAAAGTGGAGGCCACCTCATTTTTCAAAGATAAAATTAGGGATAGAAAACTATAAGGAATTGAGACACCAACATGGTGCGGGTAAAGATTAACTTCATTACTCAGCCCTGGGAATAAGTAAGTAAGTGTAACAAAAGACAAGAACAAGATCATTGCCTACTTTTACACTGCTGCCTAGTGACACTATTTACCATCCCCACTGAGGTGTTACGCAAAGCAGAAATTGCATAAATGCTTACTAAACTGTATATGTGCCATGTAGTACGTCCTAATTCACAGTATACTAAACAACAACAACAGCAATTTCTCGGATGACCTACTGTACTACTTCTGATGAGATACTGCATCCAATGAGTAAATCATGCGACTAACGCAGGTCATGTGATAATTGCAATGGAAGAACACCATAGAATCTACTCTACTAATCATAATAAAAGTTCAAATTCAAATTCAGTGCGCTGATTCTAAGTCAAATTCTGCTGAACACAAAACAAGTGATTCTAAAGAATTTTGAAAACCTGCAGGAACAAATAGGAAAAATAACCAGGAAGTCAATAGCTGCTGCTTTTCTAGAATGTTTATATCCTCCTTTGTGTCCAACAGAAAAAAAGAAACTCAAATAGGTTTGAAAAATTTGGAGGACGAGTAAATGATAGGAGATTTTTTTTGGTGGTGATGTCCCCTTTACTCAACAAACCCCACATACCCCATGCAAGTTTGTACACCTACATAGTTTGCTGTTTTAATAGATGGGATTTGTGAATGGTAACAAAATGACTACCATTACCTAAAGATGACCTGTTTTTGTTTTGTTCTAATATAAATGACACACCAGTCATCCCTCAAATGGCAGTTCTAAAGCAATATGTTTTCTCAAAAATGTATGGTTTAATTATTAAAAAATGAGGACTATACCACAAACTAGTTTACTTCATAAATCTAACAATCATTGTAATCATTAACCTGGATAGCATTTTTCAGTTTTAATAACCACAAAACTATTAAAATTCATGATTTACATAAAACCAGAACAAAATATATAAGCCTCTTGACCTTATTTTACTCATAACAGAAAACCACTACTCTAAAAACCCATATGAGATTCCCAAGGGAACTTATGGTGAATTAGCCTTCTGAGCTGGCCTATAAATTGACGTCACGACTGCACAGCTTTATTGGTATTCATTTTTTTTCTATTTGTTTAAAGTAGTTTTTATGACGGTCTTCATTTCCATTAGCTCATCTTCATTCTTAGCGCAGCCTCCAAAACTCAACATCTCAGAATGTCTTGTAAATCCCAGCATAACAGGACATTAAACACTAACAAGTCTCCTCCTCTTCTCATCTTGCTCAAAAACACATTAAATATACATGCTGGGAACCCGAAATCCTCTGCCCAGTTTCGAGCTCAACCAGAAACATGAAATCGCACTTTGATTCTAAAGCAAGTAGTTTAAATAACCCAAAATGTATTATGAACAAGAACATCAACACTAGGACAACGCTAGATTTTTAAAATAAACACAATTCTGTTGTATTAACAAAAATACAAAAAAAAAAATGAATTATGAAATAAAAACAAAGCATAAATGAGCAAAAGTAAAGATACCAATTTTTCCCAGTTAAATTCAGCAGAATTCAAAAGGGGCAGAGAGAACTGAATTTCCTGGCCACAATATTTGCATCTGAATAGGCAGCTTTCTTTTCAGCTCTTCTCGTGATCTTTTTATGGGTAAGCAATGCTTTAAGAAAAAAGTAATTAGTAGTGTCACTCCTGCCAATTTCAAGGCAAATGAGGAGCAACTGGAAATACAGAGAAAGTCACACAAATTTGCACATGTAAAAGTTTCCAGTTTTGTTCAAGCAACTGACAAGCATTTTCAATTATGACCAGCAGGGGCTACAGAACACAAACACACCAAAGGCATTTTAAAATGAATTTTTCAGTTAGAACAGTAATTTGAAAAGGAAGTGGGATATATTAACAGTACACATGTAAATGCAGATGTTCCTGTAGCCAAATCAGAGGGTGGTGGGGGGCTGGGTTTCAGAGGTCCAGAATCTGTCCCATACATGCTTGTTTGTCCTATTTCGACTGCTATGCCACAATAAATTGTGAAAATAATCCATCAAAAAGACTTTAAGACCAGGCGGAATCCTGTTGGCTGAGAATTTATGACCGAATTTAGCACTGACTGCATTTTTAATCATGACCACCAGGGTCTACATATATGTAAACAATATATATAAACACACCAAAAGCGTTTAATTATTATATTTTTAGCTAGAACAGTAATTTGAAGATGAATTGGCATATAGTAACACTGTAAACACACGTTCCTGTAGCCAAATCGAACATGTTTTAATAAAGCAACTGATTTGCATTTCCAATTATGACCACCAGGGTCTACAGACTTCAAAAGCATTTTTAAATTATTTTTTTCAGTCGGAACAGTGATCTGAAGACTTGTTTAACCTCATCTTTCTCATGTCATTACATTTGCAGTGTGGAAGCATCTACAGAGGGTTTTAATTCAATGACAAAACATTTCTTGATGGTTGGGAAAAAAATTCATTTGTCCTTTTTTGACTGCTATGCCATAATAAATTGTGAAAATAACCCATCAAAAAAGGCTTTAAGACCATGCGGAATCCTGTTGGCTCTCGGCACAGAATTTGGGACACCGAATTTAGCACATGACTTTCCGTTCTGAAGTCACGTCATGCCAAATTTGGCATCTCAAATTCTGACAAAGAAAAGTTGAATGTTCTGAGCAGTTTGCAGTTTGCCTAATAAATGACAAAATTCTACAGTTTTTCTTTAAAACTTGAACAGATTCCTTTATATATGTTTTCTAATGACTTATGATGTAATAAATTGGCATTTTAAAAACACAGATTGTTGTCATATTCCTTTATTCTAAATCTTTAGGAAATGGTTTTGGTACATTAAAAAGTCTGGTTATGACGACCCCCCAACAAGCTAATCCAGCAAAATATAGTGCTTAAAATGTCGCTATGCATTATTGCATTAAATGCATTATTTTAGCCTCATAATGAAATAAAAAATGAATGGAACATCTGCAAAAAGATCCACTTTTTGAGAAAAAAAAGAACCACCCCTTTCACCAGGCTGGCTAAAGCCCTGTGTTTTGTTTAACTGACTAGCATTTTCAATTATGACCATCTGGGTTTACATATACTGTATATAAACATAATATAAACACACCAAAGGCATTTGATTATAATTTTTTTGTTAGAACAGTAATTCATGTTGTGACATATATTAACAGTACACATGTAAATACACATGATCCTGTTGGCAAATCAAACTTGTTTTGATAAAGCAAATGATTGACAGAGTGTCACGGTGGCGCAATGGGTCGCACAATTGCCTCACAGCAAGATCATTGCTGGTTCGAGGCCTGGCTGGGTTAGATGGCATTTCTCTATGGAGTTTGTATGTTCTTCCTGTGTTGGCGTGGATTTTCTCCAGGTGCTCCAGTTTCCCCCACAGTCCAAAGACATGCGGTATAGGTGAATTGAAAAAGCTACATTTTGCCATAGTGTGCATGCAAGAGTGTATGGGTGTTTCCCAGTGTTGGATTGCGGCTGGAAGGGCATCTGCTGCGTAAAACATATGCTGGATAAGTTGGCGGTTCATTCCACTGTGGTGACCCCAGATTAATAAAGAGATTAAGCCAACAAAATGAATGAATGAATGAATGAATAGGCTGAAAAAAATGAATGAATGAATAAGCTGAAAAAATGAATGAATGAATGAATAGGCTGAAAAATGAATTAATGAAAGAGTGAATGAATTAATAAATAAGCTGAAAAATGAATGAATGAATGAATAAGCTGAAAAAGGAATTAATGAAAGAATGAATGAATTAATGAATAAGCTGAAAAATGAATGAATGAATGAATGAATGAATAAATGAATGAATGAATTAATAAGCTCAAAAAATGAATGAATGAATGAATAAGCTGAAAAAATTAATGAATGAAATAATTTGCATTTCCTATTATGACCACCTGGGCTACAGACTACAAAAGCATTTTTAGATTATTTTTTTTTTAGTCAGAACAGTGATCTGAACACTTGTTTAACTTCATTTCTCATGTCATTAGTCTTTCAGTGTAAAATTTAGTGTAAAATTAAAGCATCTACA